TCTGAGGGTGAAATCAGTCGCAAACCTGGTCCGCCAGTTATATATTACTGCACCAACAAATTTCTGTCAGTGTTCCAGGACGTGGTGGGTTTTCGCTTGGCAAGCCTTCTCCCTATAAAAAGCCACAAATGTCCGCGTAACAACACTGCAATGTGGCGGATGTGACCCGCTACCGAATAAAGTCACTGCCCAGAACTACCTACTGGCAAGTCGACCAGAATCATTATTCAATATTGCCCTGACACTTTCAATACTAATTTACACCATGCCTATATGTATCGTTTTCATTATACATGTAATGCCTTGACTCTTTACACTACACACTCTAGAATTCAACATTCCGTCGGTCATTGATGACTCTATCCCTCCTGACTACTCACACAATTTCCGCAGCCTGTACAACCTTCGGCTTACTGCCGACTACACTCATAGCAACGTGTTTGTTGCGAAGCAATATTGCATGTATATATTGATCATGCCTTACTTGGTGTGTCTCGACAAATTCGAGAATAAACTATTTATTTATTTATTTATTTATTGATGGCCCCTTTTGCCACTGACTCACTTGCGTACGACAAAAGGCGCTGCGCTTGCATGTTCCGCATGTCGGAACGGTTTGAGCCTTTATCATCCATAATGCATGTACCAACCAACACTTACGAAAAAATGTTTTTAACTGGTGATGGTTTACATGCTATTATACCACACCGGCACACAGCCAGTTAGAGCATGGAAGTGCGAAAGCAGCCTATCGAGGGAATAGCCCACACGGTAGCAGATTCATTGGGCACTGTTCCATGATTGGCCGTGTTAATTTAATGGTACTTTGGCTAAATGTGCATCAGTTATTGTTCCCATTTTTTAGTCGTCCCGATGCTTTCAAAATGCCAACCACCTCAGAAGCCAATTTATAACCCATTGGACAAGACATACGCAATTAAATATTTTACGCGTTCACCTTGCAAAGCTTGTGCCGACCACTTAGTTGGACAGAGCCTTGCACCGTAGAGGCATATACAGTCTAGTTTTTTTAATTTAACGGTCGACACTGAAGGTTTCAACAAGGGAACCAGGGCACAAGACCACTATACTAAACTGAAATGTTAAATGCTTAACCAGCTGGGCATCATTAATGGTGCGTAGGGACAATGACACCTTCAAACCACTTGCAAATACCCCCGTCTATGTGGGGAGCGATGCAAATGCTTATAGCCCGCAAAGCGATAAGAATGAATAATGGTTAATCATATGCGCCCAACAGATGCAAGGAGGATACACCTAATGAGACCTAAGTGGAACAGGTATGGAAAAGCATCAAACGGGACGCATGAAAAGTGGAAACAAGACGCTTTTCTGCTGCCTTGCTTGGAGTGCTGCACGCATAAATCACCGCTGGATAATCTATCTGTGGAAAGATAAGCAGAGGTAGGACAAACTTTGTGCTAGTACATTAGCAAGTATGAATGGTAATCATTTAACGATACAGAAACGTACCAGCTACAGTATACGCGATTTCCCTCTCGATGATTGGTATGGTCGTGCAGGTTTACATCATCCTGCGGCGGCAATATGACGAATACGCCAGACGTGTTTGACTTGGTAGTAAAGCCAAGTCGCGTACGTTCTTGCTAACATTGGGTTGCGATAACTTTCAGTAAGTTGATCCATGCATAGAAGTACGCAACGGAAATATCTGTGGCATAATACAATATACATGTACGCACCCACCCACTGCACCTATGGCCAAATGGTCCAGCCCCCTGCAAGCTTATCGCCCTTGCCAGGGGAAGCACTTGGTTATAAAACAGACGTTGGTCCTTAAAATGGGCGGGGTGTCAGTCACCGAGGCAGTCAAAGCACAACCGTTGTTAAGCGGCTGGATATCACAAAGATTACAAAGGCAGTCTTGACCGCCAGCCAGTCCACTAGTGGTAGCACCATCCGCTGCACTTCTGCATATTATTTCGTCCACGATATCCGCCAACGGTCCTAGTTCTTCTTCTTGACCACATATACTGAATTTATCTTATTACATGCCTGCTGTCATATTCCTTTCGTTGCGCCGACGTTTGGCTTCAGTCCTGAACACCGCGGAGTTGGCTGTGAAAAAGCGTCGGCAGGTTGGTGGACAGGAGGAGGTAGATGGCATAGGTGTCCGCAATTGAAGTGGTGACCACGACTGCTTTCACTTTTTCTCTTTGCGTCGGGGTAAAAATGGCGCACGCGGTGCACGCCCCTTGAGGCGGCGGTCCTTGTTTGATGATTATGTGTTGTTTCCCCTCTGCTGAGATACACCACCAACGGGTATCTTACACTTGGCTCGTGGACTTTGTAACCTTACTACAGGGACGTCATTATTGTTTAGGATGACTATATGAACCATGTAGTTACATGGTTTATCCCACTGCAAATGGAACTAGCAGGAGCAAGTCATGGGTTCGCCAGACAAAACTACACGGAGCCGCTGTCGGCAACCGATTATTCGGGAGCTCGCGCCTTCACTAAGTACAATATTTATATCGCCGGAACCCTAATGGCGTATAAACACTGCACGAGCATAAGCTGTGAGGCAAGGCCATGGTCCGTACAAAATGCGTGGACTCTTGATTGGAACCTGAGTTGACATTGCCGACTTAGCCGAAGCTTTACACCAATGGGATGCGGCATTCCGAGACATGCGAACCAGTGCAATAAACAGCAGCAATAAAAAGGTTCGCTCACTTAATCCACCTTTCGAATGCTTATTCGCTATCTACGTCGGTTGTGGTAAAACAATCCAAAATAGGCGTCTTCAGCTGTCTATAGGTAGCCCAGTTAATTGAACTTGGTAACCACGTGCGTTTAAAATATCGACCACCGTCCGCATTTTTCACATTGCTGCCTAGCAGGTATCTAAGATTTTACGACTGCGTTCGGCAGTACACAGGGTTCTGTATCCACTATATCAGAAGATACTTTTCAGTGTTACTTATAGAGGTATATTTTAATACTGTTTCTAGAGGCTGTGCCGGCGAGGAAGCAGCCCATAATGAGTACTAATTCCATGCGCTTGCATGTGGTGTGAGTAAAAATTAATAGGCAGCTTTTTCTCGAGTGCACCCAGATACACCACGTGACGCATGCTCAAAAAAGTGACTATACTAAACTTGCCAGCGCTAATTCGTGAGCCACGACCGTTTGCTGGAACAACCTGGAATGTTCCGCAAATGACAGAACCGGCAGCAAACCATGCTGCACTAAAGTAGGTATTGCACTTGTCGACCACCAACGAAGGAGAATTAAGCACGGACGATAACATTTCACCCACTGCAGAAACAGCCCTCATTCATCTGCTTGCCGCCTCACTTGGCCGTTAGGCTTAAAAGCATGTGCGCCCATCCACTAGCACACAATGCAACATGATATAACTGTCGTACTTACGTTGGTATTGTGGCATCTACTAACAACATATCATTGTACCTATCCACCACCCCGGTTGCGGACGCCGGGACGCAGAATACAAGACGAACCACACCCATATTTCGCTCCCCATGGACTGCCTCATTCCCCTGCAGAAGCTTCGCCACCGCATTAACGTCGTTAAGTATGCTTTACCCACCTAACCGCGTACGAATGGAGCTTAGTTTATCCCTATAAACTTTCATGTTGTACGGATACAAGACGTACCCTTGCAACTCATTGAGGTTCTTGAAAGAGTATATTAGAAGAACAAGGTGCCCTACCTCCACCAAACACAAGCGCCTGTTTGCAACATGCAGGCTAGGAGTAATGAAATGAAAAACAGTGGATATGGTTAAAAATACTATTCCCAACTTTGTAAAGCTAACCCCTGCCAATTCTCGTCATAACGGCCTAAAAACGAAGATTAACGTGGGCACATATAATTTAACAACTGGTCAATAAACTTGGCACTTACCATTTGTAATGCATACGAACATATTGGACCATTTTCCCTGAATAGCACTGGGCAGTTGTATTCCGTGCTCTGCGTTATACGCACTGGCCGTTAACACTAAGTTGCCGCGAAAACACGTGGCTATGTTTATCTGAAACAGGTTAAGAAGGACAGCAAATTCATCCATTGACTTATACGGACAGGAATTATAGCACGAAAGGCAGTTGTTATCCACCTCAGTGGTAGCGAAACCGAAGCCACTGTGCATATTACCAAAAACCTTTATTTACCGACAGATACACACATAACGGATGCCTTATCGTGCATGCATCATGTAAGTGCAAGTATTCTCACCTTAAAGCCCAGAGGATACATGTTTTATTGCAAAATATCGCTTTGTAGTCATTTTGCAACAACGCAAATTATCTGCAGCCAACTCTAACCCTTTTAGTCATTATTTTTAGGTTCGGTCCGCTTCCGACCATCGAGTTGGGACTGGCTTCCAGATCACGATGCGTGACAACCGACGGTTAAAGGTTTCGCTAGAAAGCTCTATGCTCCTGGGTGGCATCCAAACTTTTCCTTTCTTTTAACTGACCCTTCGGCTACCATTTTCTTTTCTGATTCCCCACCTATCCTAGTATTAAGAATATTTAACAATCACACTTCGTGCATTCCGATTTTACCGTTCCCACTTTCTCACTTCAGGTAGACGGTTCAGCAGGGACAGCTAGTACAGGGTACGTGGGCAGTAATTGGTTTGTCAGAGTTTGATGCAGTCTTTGTTTTAAGTCCTTCCATATTTCAAAGCCCTTCGTTAACTCATGGTTCTACCGGCTGCCGAAAAAGTAACACGCTCGGGATAATTCTATCGTTCTGGATGCATTTGAACTGGATCATGAATACCAATCCAGGACCAAAGAATGTTTCGAGGGAATGCCTGCAGCTACCACTGTAGCTGTCACGTGCCTTTGGATAATGCCACTACACGACAAAGCACGGCTTCCACACAAGGATCGGGAAGCGATTGAGCTAACAAAGGATTTTCCTCCTACTCTCAACTATCCAACGATCCAAAGATCATCAATTTTGGTTATCCCGTGCTATTCGCAGCACCTCGCAGACCGATGACGTCGTCTCGTTCCGCGGGATGACACGGAATTTAAGTTTGCTGGATGGTATCTTTGACACTTTTGTTAACGCAGTGGCTTGAAGATATCCGGGGTTACTTTTATAGCCTCTTTTTCGGCTCTGTAACTGATGGTGATCCTGACGAGTCTTTTGTGCGTTCTGTAGATAAAGTGGACAATCTGTCTGTTCACGGTCTGGAGTGTTCGCGTGGTCTTAATGAATTCCCACAAGCGCAACTGCTGAGTGTTGGCCATAACAAGGATTGCTGTGCTGCTTCGTCAGGCCTTCGCACACTATCACATCCGCTTTTTCCCATCACACAGAGATGCTTTTCTAACGACATGCGTCCCTACTCTCCTCCGAACTGTGGACTTGAGTCCATAGAACTGTCCACCTATCCTCGTTCTACAAAGCACCATTTTTGCCCCATTCCATTAGACGCTGATATATTTTGCGATTCTTGCAATTGTCCGATCTACACCTTGGGTACTGGACCAGTTTGTCAGAGGTGTGCCGGTAAGTTGTTCGCTTCCCCTTACATGCGATGTACGCGGGATCTTGAATTTTGACGTTGTGTGTTTAACTGCTGCTATTACTTATTGCTTACTACTTCATCTACATGCAACGCGGTATGATCACACTGTCAACGCGGCTTGCACGAGCCGCGTCGGCGTTGTCTCCTGAGGTCGGAACCGACTGCTTATTCTCACATCTTAGGTGCCAGAACATAATACACTGGACACAGGTGAATTGGAACAAGACAGCAAGTGGTAAGACTGACACCACAACCATGGTCATTCGTATGCAAAAGAGTTTCGTTATGTTGCGAAGAGCGTTTCTACGGGTACAAGCGACAAAACCAATGTTTCACAGAAACGCAGTCGGGCCTAATGGAAAACTTGCTGTCTTGGTCCATGTCTGTAGTCAAATGCGCACTTACTTTGTGGAAAGTACAATTCCGATTCTTGTGCATAGTTACAAATCGCAGACAAACTCCGTTTGACGGACAGTTTACTGCTCCGAGTGTTTACTTTAGCCACAACGTTTGGGACCACCCGTTTAAACAATCAGCCAGTGCTAACCTAGCACACAGTACACAATTGATTGCAATAAAGTGAATTTCTCACTAAAAAATTCCCTGATGCTCCTTCTGTCACAGAGAACAATTACCGATGCCCTATCTGCCGCATCAAGCATAGTGGATAGGGGTTTACACGCTACTGCTCAGGCCCTCTTGCGCTTTTTCCTACATAGCCTCCCTCTCCAACTTCATTACTACGTCTCCTGTTTCTAACCCCCTATTCTTGCTCGCACATTTGTGAATCCGTCCATCGATGTCTGCTGTTTATCGGAAACCCGCCTGCAAGATTCGGGTTCTGTGCTTACCCTGCAATCCCTAGCATGCGACCCTGACGGCACTTTCTCGTTATGCTTGTCCGGAGATGACGCAGCTTCAAATGTCAATGAAACCGGTGTGGGCAATGCTCTGAGTCTCCAGGCTGAAGCAGCCCTGGTCGATTGGATCCCAATCAATATCTGGATGTACGCCGTCTGACTGGCTGGCTCGTTCAAAGCTTCGAAGTCGCGCGGGACAACCTGCCCGTCAGTGCAGCACACGCCCACACAGACTATAGTAGTGACTAGGTGAAAGAAATTCTCTAGCCAATTGAACGAGTATCTTCGTCTCAGAAAGAGTAGTGCTTACTGGTGATCTGAACGCAAAAGTTGAAAAATTGTCCACTGATGCACTGCATCTGGGTGGCCAACACGTTGTAGGCTCACCTAATGACCACAGTGAACGGTGCCTGTACTTATGTGAAGGTGCTCGTTTATTTCTCGCGAGCACTAACTCCCAACACAGCACCACAGAAGAATGACGTGGCGTCCACTAGCCTCCGACCAGCCATGGACGCAATTCGATCACATCACGATGAGTTAACGTTGGAGAGGGTGCGCCTAAAACTGCCGCTCAATTTGGAGCACGGGCGTAGACTCCGACCGCGCATTCGTTTGTGCCGACCTGTGGGTATGTTTTGATCGACGTCTGCAGTGACCCTGTGAACGTGTAGATACTTGCCAACTGATGAAACCAGATGTTCTGTGTGCGTATCAAAGTGCGCTTGCATGCGGACTGAGTAGTCGCTTACTGAACACAGTTGATCACTGATCGCATGTTTGCCGGACGCTATAAGCAGCAGAAATGTTTGTGTGGCAAATCAAATCGCAAACCTGGGCATTCGGTTTCTACGCAATCTCTGGTACTTCTGGATGCTCGTCGACGTGTTCCGGCCGGAAGCGAATACGATGAGATTCGCAGAAACCTCAGGGCGAAACCGCGTGCTAGACTGAAGGGAGACAGCGAAGCCTGGTGGTCTCATCGTGTGTCGTAAATCGAGACAGCCGCCTTCTTTTGTAACTTTTAGAAATTATGCCAAGGCGCGAAAAGGACTGCAGGAGACCTGCTTTTGGCAAAACTATATGCGACGACAGTAAACAGCTAATCTGCAGCTTGTCGAAACGCTTGGCACGTTGGACCGAACACTTTTGGAAGCAGTTTAATGAGCGAGAGTTACCACCTTTATTGGCCATTGATCATCGTACTCCGTGGGCCGTTCCCTTGGATTCGCTTTCACGCGCGGAAGTAAAACTTGAGATCAGACCGTTAAAATTGAGCAAGGCTTCAGGTACAGATAGACATTCTCCAGTCCTCTTTGCAACTCAAAGGACCTGCTCTTGTAGATGGGTTGCGCAACTTACTTGTGAAGCTGTAGGAACGGGAAACTGGTTAAAGAGACTGCATCCGCTCCATTATAGTCCCGATTTTCCAGGGAAGCTTATATTCGGATTGCAACAAACACAGAGAGATCAGTCTGATTTCAGGTGCCTCCAAGCTTTTCGCCTCTGTTGTGCTCCATAGACTGGCATTGGTGAAAGTCAGATACGCGAGGGGCAAGCCGGATTTCGCCGAAATTGTGGCTGTATTGACCACATCCTCACCTTACGCAAATTGTTGGGACACCGCCATATCTACTGGCGACTCACTGTGATCGTGTTCCTTGATATCAAAGGTGCCTTTGATTCAATTGATCGATGTGCTTTTCGGGACTATCCGCTCAGAAACGATGTGCCCGAGAAATACAGACACTATCAGAGCGTTGTTCAGGCGAAGTGAGGGTCTTTGACAAATTGCCGTCGTGTTTTTATTATTTCTAGCGGTGTGCGACAAGTTTGCTCGCTACCACTTTTCCTTCATTACTTCGCCACCGACGGGGTTATGGAATTGGGCATTCACTGAACACGACTTTTGTGTGAATTACCTCCAGATAAGCGACTTATTGACTTGGAGTATGTCGACGACATTGACCTAATCGGTGACAGCTCCCAAACGTGTCATGCGTCACTGGACAGGTTAGCACTGACTGTCAATGGTCCCGGGCTATGCTTTTCACCCTCGACCATCACGACAGGACTGGACCTTAAGGTGGTTTGTCTACCCCTGTGACCCATTGAGCTACTATGGATGGCACTTTCAGCTGCCTTCAAGCCCGCTCATATCTGACAGACCAATTGTTATGGGTCAGACTAACTCAGTCTCACAACCGCCCCGCTGCCTTGCGGGCAGGCTGTTTAGCCAAAGGCTAAGACGGCTCCCTACTTCGGCTTGGGCAACCGGGTATTATCACCCCCATTAAGAAAACCATTTACTGTTCAACTGCAATATCGCTCTCACCTGCTTTTGCTTCTGCTAGTCACTCACCTTCACACGCCACCTGTTCATTTGTTACCAGTCAATATTATCTGTTACCAAATAATTATTGTTTCCATGATTCTACTCCGGATGGTTTCGTCGACACTCAGAGAGCTCGCCTAGTCGCACTCCTTCGGCTTCGGTCTTCGTTCCTCCTGGCATGTTTCAATGTACGTACACTCATGCAGATCGGGCAGCAATCTAGTCTTGCGCGCACTCTGGAACTCCTCGCCACCGATGTTTGCTCTCTTTCCGAAACGCGCTTGCAAGATCCCAGTACTGTGTTTGAGTTGAAATCTCCCACTAACCACAGAGCCGTATTTCCCCTACGTCTATCTGGTAACGCAGAAGCAGCTGCGGCATGCTTGGCTGACGTTGGTGTAGTGCTAAGTATCAAAGCCGAGGAAGCACTGCTTTACTTGTTCCCGAGTAATAGCCGACTGTGTGCAGTTCGGCTTTCATCATCATCATCATACACGTTAGCTAGACGTGGGGAACACCTCAGCTACTGTGCCGCAATACATAAAAAAGAAGAAAAAATGCAACTGGTGCAAGCCGGCTGAGCTATCGGTAACGGATGGGCTTTGGGCATCATGCAAGGTAAAACGATGTCGTGAGGAGAGACGCAGTTTGTTTGTAATCTCAGCTTACGCTCCAACTGACTGCAGTTCCGATTCCGTCAAGGATGATTTCTACGGTGAACTTTATCAGCTCTTGAGTAGAGCCTGAAAATCCGACATTGTTGTTCTTGCTGGGGATCTCAACGCACGGGTTGGTCGTCTGTTAGCATACGAAAGTCACCTCGGTGGTCACCATGCGCTCGATGGGAGCCGCTCAGATAATGGAGAGAGACTTCTCTCGAGCACCAACTTTCGACATTCGAGGAGACGTTCCGCTACTTAGTGACCCTCTTCTGCGTCTCGATAATGGTCTCAGATTGATCATATCGCAATCAGTTTCTGATGCAGGGTAGTGTCAAGGATCGCAGACCCATCTGGTTCACTTTTTTCACTCAGACCATGCTCTTGTCTTTGCGTACATCTGCATGAGTTTCGGAGGATCCCCGAAAATGAAGCACTGTAAGCTAGACACAAATAAACTATTTGCTGTTTCGGTTCAGCATTTATCAAGCTTCCTTGGCTGGTGCACTCGGCTGCGACCCACCGCAAGGTATTGATGAACCCTGGACTTGCATGCAGAGGAACATAATCTCTTTCGGACAGCAAGTCTGTGGTCTTACTCAGCGCCCTATAAAGGCCTGGATCTCCACGCGCTCTTTGAATTTATTTGACCGCCGCAGGAATATTCCAGCGGAGTCTAATCATGATGAAGTGCGCCGTTCTTTCAGTCGGCAGCTCAAACAAAGCCTACGCAGTGACCGTGAAGCCTAGTGATCCCAGCGTGCTTCGGAAATGGAGGCTGCTGCCCTCTCTTGCAATACTCCCAAACTTTTTCAGCTCATTCAATCCACCGGCCACAGAAAACCTGGTGTCAGTGAAACTATATGCGAAGCGGGTGGTTCGCCAATTGCCAACTTGCAGAGACGCTTGGACCGATGGGCTGAACATTTTCATACCCAATTCATTTGGTCCTCAAAGTCCAATTATATCCCCTGCAAACCCAGCTGCCCGGCCTGGGTCATCACACTTGATCCACTCAGCGAAGCGGAATTTTGTCTTGTTATTCGACACCTAAGACGATTTAAGGCTGTCGGCCCAGATGGACTTCCTCCGTAGCTGTTCAACTATGGAGACTCAGTTATAATTAG